TGTTGCTGACATGAATAACTCCGAAAATATAATTTATTTACTTGATCGTATTGAGTTTTGGTGCTCCCACTGCGAACTTTTTATGATCACTATCTTAAGAGGTGAGAGTAAGTCAGCTCAAATTCTAATTTCGCCCCCACTTCCCCGCGCGTCGTATGCTATGTACCGACATGTTTGTAATCACTAATACTCTAAGTAGATAGGTCGTTAGATACTTATTTCATTATGTTTATCATATATATGCCTGTTTCTTAACGCCAACCCAGTCGCTTCTTATTTTTATAACGGTTATTTCCCATTTTAATTTTACGTCTTCCTGTTGCGTAATGTGTTTTCTGATCGTAAGCGACACAACTTCTCCCTTCAAAAGCCGGAGCAATACTAACGGATAGGCATGTCGATCTAAAATCGATTTTGAATCGTTCTTTATAGTCAAATAATCGATTATTTAGATCGATTCGGAGCACTGCATCGATTCACTGAATCGATCCAAAAACCTCTCGAATCGGACTGATTCTTCTGATTCAAGAACTAGCGATAAAATACCCAAACTGGCTGGGGTAATATACCGCAGTTTTTTAATTTTTTGTTGTTGGGGGACGCAATAACAACTGGTTGTACTTGGTTGATGATTTTAACGCAATATATATTTGAATAAAAATTTTTATGAAAGCATCCAACAATATCGAAAAGTTGTCATTTTATTTACATTTATACAATTCTAACTCTAATCTTACCTGTGGAATGTTGGTCTAACTTAATCTGTGCTGTGAACAAAGACTACCTACGTATACATACTACAATATAATATTATAGCTGTGAACCTGTTTGAACTGTGAGCTGTAAGTACTGATTGAGTACTTTTTAAATACCTAGATACTGTATATAAATATTATATTTTGAAGTTTTATAGTAAGGAAATTCTGTTCGTGTAGCATTCATTTCGATTTGATAAATATTTGAGTTTTTAGATTGAAACAGATTTATGGAGAAATGTACGTTGCAGTTTGCACTTTTGTTAATTTATCGTTGTTGTTTTTAGCCTAAAATGTCAAATAAAAGTGATACATGGAATCACTTTGTAAAAAAGGGATCGAGTGGAGTATGTGCGAACCACACCTAACACAAGCGTTTCAAGCTTACCAGGAGTGGTTCGAATGAATAATAGTAATGTTAACTAACAAGATTACTAATATATTATTTTAATAATATTAAAGTTCAATTACAGAAAAAGTCACAATTTCTTGAATTGTGTTTAAAAATGTCACGATTAATCGAAAATCGATCTTTTAATCCGCGATTTAATCGATAATCGATTCTAGTATCTTCGATTCAAATCGATTCGGAGATCGATTTTTTAATGAGTGAATCGACATGCCTACTAACGGAGCGACAGGAACCAAGCTTACGCGCCGATAGTTTAGGTAATTTCTTTTTACAGTGAAAATTATGATATTTTAAAAAAAGTAAATAACATAAGCACTGCTTTATGGTTAGTTCAGTTAGTATGCAAAGTTTCATGATCTTATTTAAAGTATTTTATGAATAACAGCGGTTTATTGTTCAGTTTGGAGGTAACTTTGGATTTTTTTTCTATCGAGAAAATTTTACGGAATCGTGTTTTCGTCTAACATAAACCTTAACATTAATCCTCAACTTTACCATATATTTATTTCAAAATTAATGCTGCAATACTTTCGGCATAACGGAGGATCTTGCTAAGCCATTTGAGGTTATATTTCCCCTTAAGGATGAGTGCGAACTATTGTACCTAATCTGTACGAAATTACTCTCTACTTAACTAAATTCGTTTTTGTGAAAGGCTATTTTTGTTAAATTATGATATTATGTTTGGTTTCGCAGTTAGTTGAAATACAATTTGTTTGTGTTGTTGTTATAAATATTGGACGCTATATTACTAAAAACATGCATATCGTGCTCTAATTGGCGTCCGTATTGTGACCTACGCACATTGAGAACTTTTCACGCTTATGCTTGCTGCATTTAAGTTTCTTTGGTTATATTTAGTAACTTAGGTAAATAAACTTGTGTAAGTTTATTAATGTACTTGAAATGGACATTGAACGGAGTATTTACCCATATACGGACGTAAGAATATCCTAAAATATTCACACTAAGTTTTATTTGACGTCCACTTCTTCGATATCCGATGTCCAAAGTTGTTGTTGATTATTGCATTTTACTATTTATTTATGTTGATTATTTATTTAGTGCTCAAGGCGTATTTTGGTATTTTTTGTCGGTTTATACTGTACTCAGTGCTAGTAGATAATTTTACTTTCCAATTTGTTTTCTTGTCCTTAGATTTAGCTACATATAATTCTAAAATATTCATATTGAATGATATTTGACGTCCATATTTTGAATTTTGTTATATTTCTATATGTGGACGCCAGATTATCGGTAAAATTTAATACCGCACGATATTTGACGTCCATATAACCATGAATATATTTATATTTTAATTTCTTGTGTATAAGACACACATTAATGATCATTGCTTTAATGACATTTTTCGCTATTGTTTTATTCGTATTTTAGTGTAGGGGATGCGGTGTAAAATACTCACTTTGGTGTTTTATAAAAATTTTCGTTCTAGAAATGATAAAACGCTTAGAAGCTTAGAAAAGGTGTGTGAAAAATTAAATTGTATTTCAATTAACTGCAAAACCAAACGTAATATGTATCATAATTTAACAAAAATAGCCTTTCACAAAAATGAATCTAGTTAAGTAGAGAGTAATTTCGTACAGATTAGGTACAATAGTCGCACTCATCCTTAAGATGCAGTGAGAGCACCAAAACTCAACACGAGCAAGTAAATTAATTATAATTTCGGTGTTATGTCAGCAATAATATGCCACGGTCTATTGTAGAAATTATATTAAAATGAGTTTCTTCGCCAGACCATATTAGGTTTATTAGTCAGAGGTTATTAGTCACAATATAATAAAACAAATTTCTATGAAACCTGTCAATATTTAAAATTGAGTCCATCTTCCTGTACTTAATCAGAAGGTAACTTATACTCAAACAGAATTATGGGTTGCTTACGAAATACCTAACAAGAGTTCTTTTAGGCAAATTAGTACCAAATGTAAAATGTTAAAATATAGTGCAGCATGAAATAAACCGATAAGCCGACGTCCGCATCCTAAACATTCAGCATCTCAGACATATATAAAAATATAACTAAATTCAAAAATACGGGTGTCAAATATCATTCAGTATGAAATTTTTGGGATATTCGGACGTCTATATTATGTGTAGGTAAATGTAAAGTTAAGAAAACAAGTTTAAAAGTAAAATTACTAGTACCAAGCGCAGTATAAACCATATAATAATGTCCTGCAGACCGAATTACGGTTACGGCGGCCTGCCTCAACGAAGACATCGGCGCAGGACAGGATTATAGTGCTCAAGTGTAGGCGCAACCACAGTTGCACTCTCTATTCCCTCATTCTCATAATCCGATGACACGGTAAACCGACACGACCGGAGAGAGATCAGTTGCAGGACCAACGGCTTTACGTGCTTAAGAGGCACTGGGGTGATACACCGCCAACTTCCTGACTCCGGGCAGATATTGAGAATTTCTTGACAGAAAAACTCAATAATTGATTTGGCCTGACCCGGGAGTCGAACCCAGGACCTCACGATCAGCAGTCGCACTACTACAAACACTAGACCAACGAGGCAGTCATTACCATATATCACCAAATACAAGTAACACGTTGGCAATGGTGACGGGACGGCAACGTCGCATCTTCTAATTTTGTGCGGAAGTCAAATACGGCCATAAATGAAAGTATTCACAAATCGACAGCAGCGCTATTATTTTTGCGACGAAAATTAGCGGAACTACGTATTATAATTAATATATAAGTATTATAGTAGTCTATATACATAATATTATACAGTATAAATAAATTAAAATTACAGATGTATGAACAAAATAGTTTATTTATTTCACTTTTATGATCAGTCGGGAGTCATTTATTTGATGGATAACTTATTTGACAATTGTAAAATCGGTCCTTCGTGTGTATGGTGCGCGCGTCCGGGGCGGTTAGTTCTCACGTGCGGCACGGCAAATACGGCAAATAGCCCCAGTCTCCACCGCCCGCCTCTCCATTCAGTGGACGATTTACAAAATCTTGTCTTGATAGGTGAATTATTGATTACGTTAAACAAATCTAATCGTTTGAGAGTTGGAGGTGGGGTAAAACTTTGCAATAATTACTTTATCATCCATTTATTGAAATGTGACCCATCTCTAATAATAATGTTTGTGCATATAAACATTGTAGTCGCGGAATTGCAACAGGTGAGTGCTACCGCTTAATATTTATTTATTTTATGAATTTAATATATATTAGTATATATGTATATATATACAGTAGGTACATTTATCTTCGATTAAGTATCAAAAATGCAGACAGGTTGTCACCCTCGGGAACTCATATGCAATGCTTCGTTACTAGGAAAAACTGTAATCGGTTTTCGTCGCTTAAAATATGAAACACAACAGCTATAAGCTGCTACTTTACGCTGTTTTCCTGTGAGAGCGTGGTCCTGCCACGGCCGAGCCTACCCATTCGTGCTATAACGATAATATAGCTGCAGCGTGGCTCGACCACTTGTATATTATATACCACGTGTGTGTATGTAAAGTGCGTATAATTCACACTAAAAGCTTACCTAACATTTGTTTTTGCAGATTTAGGGTAAATACACAGTCTGTCTAAGTAATACTGAACTCATATGGTTTTGAAACCTTTATTCTTCTCTATCAAGTCTCTTAAAACTAAAAAAAAAATCTGCCTGAAGTGATATCTCAGTTTAGGTGCCTTCATCAAAATTAATTTATAGGTTATTCATCGTATCCGTAACATCCGACAGGACTCAGGAGTGTACCTAAATAATTTGTCCATTTTTATTTTTCTTATTACAATATATTGTTTTGTTTTTCGTCTTAGTGGCAAATGGACAGACGAAGAAATTGAAATGCTGAGGTCCTGCGTTCATCGCTTCGCCGTCGATCTAAACAAACTTAGCCATCATATTAAAAACAGGACTGTGTAAGTGCCTCTAATAGTTTCTGTTATTCACATTTTTTATGGATTTATATATATATATATATATATATATATATATATATATATATATATATATATATATATATATATAACCAGGTCACAAGAACAAACATCCAGATCCGGAACAACAGGCCAATTACTTGTTTAGTGCGACATCCGACACTTGGCCCTCATCACCTCAACACAATACCAAGCCACTTAGACCAGGAAGCTGTCACTAGAATCTAGCTCGTGATCAAAGCGTGTAGTAGCCTATATTTAAACTAATATTATTATTCAGTTAAATAATTAAAATAATAATTAGCGGCATTTCGATTTTATTTATTTGCGGTAATCTAAACAATGTTCAATGAGCCGAATATAAATCATACATTTTTCTAAAAATACATATAGAATTTCATGCATACTTTCAATTTGGGATATCTATTGTCCAATATATAATCCGCATGATCGCGAAGAAGTTTTCGGCGAAAAACTAAAAACTTTTTTGTGCGTTCATGGACTTGGAAAAGACTCTTATGACAGAGTGGACAGGGATGTGTTATGGCAAACGCTGAACGTATTTAGGTTGAGCGCTGGTTTAATACAGGCATTAAAGTCTCTGTATAGGGACTCGAGTGCTTGTGTTAGAATCAACGGGGTCTCCTTGGACTGGTTTAGCATCCATAAAGGTGTCAGACAGGGCTGTGTAGCTTCCCCGTGGCTGTTCAACCTATTTATGGACAGTTGTTTGGAAAATTTGAAAGTTGAAGAATGCGGGTTGAGAAAGGGTGAGTTAACCATCAAATGCCTTTTGTACGCCGATGATCAATCTTGCGTCGTCGGCGGCCGAGTTGCAAATGATGGTTACATTAATGAACAGGTCATTAAAAGAAAGGGGAATGAAAGTGAACGCAAGTAAGACGAAAGTGATGGTTTTTGAAAGAGAAGAAAGCAAAACGGAATGTGAAATAAGAATAGAAGGAGAGTTAATTGAGCAAGTGGATGAGTTCGTATATTTGGGATGTGTATTCAGCAGGGATGGGAGATATGATAAGGATATTGAACGACGAGCGAATGCAGGAAATAAAGTAAATGGGGCTCTACACTCTATTGTGAAGTAGTGTCAAAAAAGGCACGTATGGCAATTCACAATGCTGTATTAGTCCCTACTTTAACGTATGGTAGTGAAAGTTGGGTGTGGCAGAAGAAGCACGAGAGTAGAATAAATGCAGTAGAAATGCGGTGGCTAAGGACAGGGTCAGGGTGAGAAACTGTGTGATAAAAGAAGAGTGTGGTTTGCAAGATGATGCGGTGACCAGGATTAAGAAGGGAATGCTTCGGTGGTTTGGTCATTTAGAGAGAATGAATGCGGAAAGACCGACAAAGCAAATATATGTTGCAGAAGTGAATGGAAGAGTCGGAAAGGGACGTCCTAGGCGGAAGTTTGTCGACCAAATTGGCGATATACTAAAAATGGGCCAAATTAAGAGTACCCTTAACCGATGAGCATGTATGCGTAGGTATATGGATGTGGAAGAGGCGAGAAAGGTATGTAAGGATCGTGCTAAATGGTAGTCTGTAGTCTCTGTCTACCCCTCTGGGTGACAGGCGTAAGTGTTTATGTATGTATTATGTATTGTCCAATAGCCATATTCTTAACTGGTTTATGTATATAATATCTTAGTTGTGGTATTTTAATTTCATAGCAGTATAAATGTAAGGTATTGTACACTGTAGATAAAGTATTACCGTGGAGCCACTATCCCATATTACCCCGTGGGTGTCGTAAGAGGCGACAGAAATCAGGATATGGCAGTGGTGTATCCCTGATAACGACTAAAATATAAAACCTCGGTTGTCAAGTGGATTGACAACTGAGATGGCAAATAGAGACCATGTTTAACATTAGACTTAATAGGCTGTAAAAGTTACAATAAAATGTGAGAGTTACACCCGCTGGCACAACTGAAATTGAAAGGAGCCATATTTGTTTGGGATTTCGGCTACAATCTATAACCCGTTGGGAGACCTGGGAAATGAACTCATTAATATATTCAACTACTTGTTTATGTAATAGATAGGTCGATTATTTTAAATCGTTAAAATAAAAAGCTTTTTTTTAATAGGATAGGGTGACAAACGAGCACACAGTCCAACTGATGGTAAGTTGGTAAGTGCTTGCTGTAGCCTATAGACATCTATCTATCTATCTACATCTATTCTCGATTACGAATCAAAATGCGTGAGGACTAATATAGAATACATCTTTTCAGTAAAATGTGTCTCCGGTTCTCTACACTCACCATACGAAACACAGCAGCATTAAGCTACTATTTTACGCTGGTATTCTGTGAGAACGTTGTCCCTCCCCGATCGAGCCGACCCATTCGTGATATAACTATACTACTAATATAACTGCAGCATGACTACCACGTAAAAATGATTTTTATTTTAACCATTTCCCGTAAAATATCGAATCGAATCGAAAATCGAATCTTATGACTCGATTGTTACGAAATCCATTCAAAAACGTGCAACTCAATCTGTGTATCGATTCAAAAGCATAGCATTCATTACACTTCACATTTTATTGATTCAATGAAAAAGTGCGGTTGACTAATTAACATATGTACATAATACGCAATGTTAATATTGATATTGATGCACCGTGGATAACGCGAACTAAATATTTTTTGATAGAAATAAAAAGTCGCTTTACTTTTTGATCACACTACGTACACCTCAACTTGTTTTATCCGCTTATGCTCCTTAAGGTAATTAGACTATCCGCTAGCCGGTAGTCTTTATGTCCCTAAAGTTTTTAAACAAAATACGATAAAGGATAATTGTAGATTTGCAACGAATAGTATATTTAGCCACACGCGGAATACTGAATATTCTGTGGGCTTCCTGGCCGAATAGCCAAATATTAGACAAAAGGTTTCGGCCGTGAAAGAAGTAGGTACTGTTTTTTTATTCAGAGCGACTATTCTCGTAAGCTGAGATTGTCTACGACAAGAAAATTAGTGAACTACTGCCTGAAAATGCAGAAAAATTAGATCTAATAGTATTTTTTGTTATTTTTTATAATTGATTGTTATATTAAAATACATCTGTATAAAATAAATTAATATTTTTATTTTATCAATTATCTGACTATAACAAAACATCTTACTCAAGTATTAGATATTCGGCCGAATAGAAAAAAGTAGCCGAATGGGCCAAACACAGAATAATACCCAAATTGGCCGAATACAGAATAGTAGCCGAATACCGAATAGTAGCCGAATAGGCCGAATACAGAATAGTAGCGGAATGGGCCGAATACCGAATAAAAGGCTAATATTCGTTGCAAGTCTAATAATTTCTTATTACTTGACAAATTAGCAAAAGTATATCCGTACGAGTCCAGTGCCAAAGCAAAAGACATTGAAAAATATTGTTTATTTATGCTCAAGTAGGCACATAATTACTAAATAATATTTTTCTTTATTTGTTTATATTTCTCCTTTTTTGTGGTTTTCCTTTAGATTTCTTAGTCGAAAATGAAATATTTTTAAACAAAAATTATTTTTAAAATGTATTCACGCGTGAATGGAATCATCGCTATAGTTCGTATTTCAGAAAAACAAAAATGTATTCCAAACTCAGAACTCATGAACTTTTTCCATATGTGTGATTGACTTGGTTTACTACTTAACTAAATAGAACTCTGAATTTCAGTACGCAGATACGGACGACTTTGAAGAAGAAGGCGTTCGAGGACGCAGGTATACCGGTGAGGCAGGTAAGCAGCACGGTGACAAGTCACACGCAGCAAGTCCCGCAGGTAGTTCACCCACTCTGCGCCATCAACCAGACGAGCGTGTTAGGAAAAAACGCCGAGGTTCAATTCTCCACTGACTAAACACTCCGTTTTTTGCTAGTTTTGTTTCGTGCCCCTTACTTTGCAGTTTCAGTTAGTGAAGTTTAAAATATTTAATTTGTGGTATAGATTTTTTTTTGTTGACGCTTCGACATGCACTCGGCTGTACGGCATGCACTAGTACTGTATAATATAGAGGTGGCTGAATTAAGTTTTGAATAGACATTACCTATGTATTTTTATAGAAATATATATTTTTCTGAACAATGATTCATACACGTTATTCCAAAATGATTAATATATAATAAAACTACAAAAACCTTAATTCGGCATTGTTCTTGCATACTTAGATATTTTTGGTATTAACTTCAAAATTTTGATACTTAATATGAAATCAATAAATAATCAGTAGCGTAAAGTTTTGGTTCTTAAACTAAAACTTACTACAAAATTTATGTGATTTTTTCTCAACTAATGGCAGGCAAACATTGTTTTTTTTTAATAATAACTTAATTATTATTTATAAAAGTTATGTTTTTTTTAAAATAATAACGTAATTATTATTTATAAAAGTTATGTTCATTTGATAAATCTTAAAATTATTATGAATCAATATATCTAAAAATATGTTGAATGTAATCAACATATAAAATTAGGCCTTATTATAGTTTACTAATTGAGGGCTCTTCGAATTCGACAGTAAATTACTTCTAAAGTGTATTTAATTAATAACTAGCATTTTTAAGACGATAAGAAAAACTATGTAATGGGTCCATTTTGAGAAATGAACCTACATAATAGTTTAATTGACTTCAAAAAAGAAGGAGGTTCATAATATAAACTGAATATATGTACATAAACTGAAATAGATAAAAGTCTGAAATGGAAAGCGCACACAGAACTTAACAAAACAATTAGTTCTTCTGCTTATACGCTATATAAACTCTCATGCGTCGTAAGTACCAATACGCTTATCACGGCTGACCACATGGTATTGTTGATTCCATCTTGAGGTTTGGCATCATATTCTGGACTAATTAGAGTTCATAGAACCTCCTTTTTTTTGAAGTAACGACGGTTAGGTTTTTTTTAGGTATGTTCACTGTTTTCTTGGAAACGGTTGAACAGATTTAAATCAGTCCTATTTATTAAAAAGTACAACTCAAGAGGTCTCCCATTTATATTTAAAGAACAAACCCCGCAGTAAGGGTGTAAAAGTACGGAATGAAGTTTTCGTTATAATTACTCAGACGTCATTCTAGTTGTTTCTTTATACCTTGAGCTTGTGATATTGCTTAATGCACTAAAAAGGGTAAAAACTACATTAATTAATAATTAATAACCATAGAATACTATAATACACAATAGAATGGCTGTCAACCTTATTTTGTACGAGGATAGGCGTCGCCGGGAGCACACATACAAGAAATTACGTCGTATTATCACTACTACAAACCCGAATCGTTGTGTTGATAGACAGATTTTAATACATATTTATTTGTAAATAGCGTGCAATTTGGCATTTTCTAAATAATTTGCATGCGAAATATGGAAACGATTGTAACGTCAAAACACATTTTGTGTTGACATTATATACTTGTGAATTGACGTGTTAGTGACATTTTAGTGGCTACACGGGCTCCGCCCACTCCCTCGTTCTATTATGTATGTAATTATATTATTCTATGGTAATAATCACCTAGTAAAACTAAAAAGAAAATATCGTCACTCTAGATGTGACACCTTGTATACACAAACTAGTCAACTTTCAGTGAGCGAGAAAAACTTGTTATGCTTTTGAAAAATAACACGTTCATTTGATAACTATACTAATACTTATTTATAATACTGTATATTTAATTGTAATAAAGTAAACAAACACCTCGATCTAGCAAAAATGTTGCAGTTATGTGGTATCATTAGCATTTTTCTTCATATTTCTATTAATATACGTACTCTCACTAAATTTTCTGTCTACTTATAATAATATTTTATTCAAATATTAGTCGTTTAAGTCCTTTTTGGTCTTTTGGCAGTTCTTTTTTCCTTCGCTCCTCTCTGTGGACACCCTAGACTATCCCCTCCACATTCCCTTTTGTTATATTATTTTTTGTGTAATTCCATTTTGATAGATCTGCCACTCGCTTTCTTACTTACTTATCGTCACGCACAATCCCTAACGGGGTAGCCAGAGTAGTAGTAGTAGTAGTACCAGTAGCCACTCGCTTTCTGATTTCCTAATAATTCGAGCTGCTGATATTCCGAAGATTATTACCTAAGATACTTTCTACATATCCTCGGCTAAAAGTTCTAAGCTGCTAACTCCACTTTTGGCTAATATGACTATTTAGTATCAAACGAAAGAGAAAAAAATTGCGCATAATCGTCAAATATGCTAACTACGAAAACTAAACCCATTTCTTTTTTTTCTTCTTGACGATTTTTCTGGCTGACGAATCAATTTTGCTCAGTTTCCTTTTAATGGCTGCATCTCTGACAAATCTATAAAACTCAGTTTTCTTTCAATTCAAAAAGCAATGGATAGTTCATTTCCCAGTGACCATGCGGGCGAAGCCGCGGGTAACAGCTATAATTTAAAAACAAGTATAATTTCTTAAACTTAAACTACTTTTACGGATTTTATAGTGTTTAATTTACTTAATTATAAAAATCAAGTAAATTAAACGCGATAAAATCCGTAAAAGTAGTTTTAATCAAATAATACTTAAATTATTAAAATCTGATAACTCTCAAACTAATCACCATATAAAAATAATTACAATTGTAAAATATGCTAACTCCAATTTAAGGCCGCAAAGTGTAATTAAATTGAAATAAATGCAAAAATGTTGATATAATAATAAGAAACAAATAAAATTTTACCAAACTAGACTTTGTTTATTGCACTTATTCGAGTATTTTATTTTTATATCAGTTTTTTATTTTTTCTCGAAAGCAGTATGGTTGGGAGTTAGCAATTTAGCACATTTAGTCGACGATATGTATTTTTATCATTACTCGTAGATTCTTGATCAAGAGAGTTCTGAAGTCTCAATAAACCTTTCTAACTCTTTTCCCGAATTGAACAGGTTTTGAGGTGCTAGGATATATAGTATATATATTCGACATTTCTATTTGAAATGTTATACTCAAATAATAACACGCTCCGTCCTCCTCGTGCTACTAAATCAAAGCCACGAAAACTTTAAGCTCGTTTTCAGCGCCTAGAAGACAATGCAAAAGTGAAATGCGTTTTACGGTATGAATGACAAGCTTGTGGAAACTGTTCACGCGATCGGTGCTAAGTTCTGCAAGACTCGTTGCAAAAGAACACAAAAGCTCTCCGATCACACTTTTAATTTCATGGGTGTTAGACGGGAAATGAAGCTGCAGTCTTGAGTAGATTTGACAGCATACAAGCAACTGAACAGACAGATCTCCAAATATGCGGCGGGACTTACGCAAATTCAATACTGCTCGTATTAAAGAAGCAATCGAGCGGAATCAGAGCTCCAAAGTCTTTGCCAGAGATCAGTCTGCTGGAAAGAGCCAACTGTCGAACCTAAAGATTGAATATAGCAGCATCGTTTCCGGGACATCTATGTCTTGCGTATGTGGACTATGAAAAAGCCTTTGATTCCGTCGAAATTTGAGCGGTAGTGCAATCCCTTCAGCGTTGCTAAGTGGACTGTCGGTATATCGAAGTGCTGAAGTGTTTGTGAAGTAGGGCTACGATGGATACCCGAGTAAAGAATCAGAGTACAAAACCTATCTAACTGCAGAGAGGTGTAAGACAGGGTGACGTTATATCCCTGAGACTTCATCGATGCATTGGAAGTTATCAAGCTACTGTATAGGATACGGTATTAATATCAATGGCGAGCACATCACTCACCGATTTGCCGGCGATATAGTTATAGCAGAATTGCTGGAAGACTTAAGCACTATGCTCAATGACCTCAAAAGTGTTTCCCAATAAGTGTCTTAAGATGAACTTGGACATAACTAAATATATCATCTCTCCCGAAACAATCTGGCTGCGGCATAGGTGTTTCAATGGCATTCACCGTAGATAATATGCATGTTCGCATATTCTTGTGCAGAACAACAAATAATAAAGTCCAGGGAAACGCAGCCAAAATCGTCAACACAAATGCGTTTTCAAGTCCAGGATACACAAGCCAAAGTTGTCACTGCAAAAGTTACACTATTACGAGGATATGTACAGTTAACTAAGGAACGAAGCGTACTGAATGATAAACCTTTCGCTTTCTCTAAAAACAAAATGTCAGTCTATTCCACCCTATTACACTTTGAACAGCATCACTCTATATCACTCTATCACATCCGTCTGTCTCGCTTACACAGCAATAAAGCAAATGTTTGCAGACAAAAGTACTATTCAGGTAAAAAAATAAAAAAGTTTATTTGAAATTAAGTTCTTTTGGAAGTAAATATGCAATAATATTTTTTATGTATTGGTAGTAGGTGTTGCACTATTTTGAAATCTTAATTAAACGCGCCATGGGCCGTTTAATTTAATGGGCCAATTAAAAGTCAAAGTTATGTGTTAAAACAATTTTAACAATGATTTATTTAAACTTTATTTTTTGTACTAAACCCACAATATTAATTATTTGGTTTGTGACTGCAATCAATAGCATAATTAATTAGGATTAGGTGTTGGAGGGGGTGTAGGATAGGGTACTTACCTTAGGGGACTTAACCGAGTAAAATGTTTTTTTTTTGCTAGAACTGGTACAACCTAGCTTATCGCCCCGTAACCGATTGACGTTGAGTTTCGGGACATTCTGTATATATCCCGTATATATACTAATATAATAAAATAATATATATTAACAGGATACAAAGAAATTATCTCTAACACGTTTCTTGAATGCCAGTAATGTTTCAGATTTTCTCAATTAGTAAGTTTTACTTTAATAAGTTTAATATTACAGAAATGTCCACAAAATTTTAATTATCAAAAAATTTAAGGGCATTAACACAAGCGTACTATATTGTGTTAAATCCGAAATTTAATTTATTGTAATTTGACGAAGTTATTCGCTTTTGTTTCGTTTAAAGAAACGACCTCAAAGGAAAGAGTGAAAAAGAAAACTATTTTTTTACTTTAGTACTTACCATCATTCCACGTATTGGCAGTGAATTTCACTCACCTGTACAGCACGCATATTTTAGAAAAAATTCTTTTTAAATTTGATGTTTATGAATACAACTTATTTTTTTATGTAAGTCGTAATCTCTCCTTAAATCTTTCGAGTAATTTAAAATTGTACGGTACAGATACAAAATAATCTTTGTTATAATCATAGAATACTATAATACACAATAGAATGGCTGGCAACGTTATTTTGTACGAGGATCGGCGTCGCCGGGAGCACACATCATACAAGCAATTACGTCGTATTATCAGCTATCACTACTACAAACACATTTTATACTTTTGATTAACGTTTTTGACACATAAATATTTCTTTATTTTGTTTATAATATTCATAAAACATAAATAGTTTCGACTTACTGGTTGTAGAACGTCGCGTTTATTTAAATTCCCGCTGTTCTTTCGACACGTAATTATTGCACAATTTGCCATTTTTTAAATAATTTGCATTCAGCGACGCTTGACACGAAAATTGGAAACTATTGATTGTGTTGATATTTATCGGTGTGAATTGACATGTTAGTGACATGTTAGTGGCTACACGGGCTCCGCTCACTCATCCGTTCTATTATGTATGTATTATAGTATTCTATGTTTATAATATATTATAGTTTGTAAAATCGACTGTATACAATGGGACAATAAGAACCATAGTACGTAAATTAATGAGAGGTGTGCACTGTCATATACGGTATTGAATGTTTCCTCAAAAATAAAATTATTTTTTTTAATTATTCATTTTATGTTGAAAATGAATAATTAAACAAATTACTTTAGTTTTTTTTTAAATTATTCTTTTTCAATAATTAAAAGTTTTCTTTAGTGGCATCTTGAAAGTAATTATTGTGACAGTAGTTTGCACGTCTATTCTTGCATCTTAGAAGCTTGTGAAAATGAGTTTTTAAAATTAAAATCAAACTGTTTTTGTAGTTAATAAGTTTACGAGTAGATGTTTAATATTTTTCTTATTTGATACTCATTAAACTTTTGTAATAGAGAACATAAGCATTTTAAAATAAAACCGCTCTTAACTTTCACAATTTTCTTAATTCCCATAGTTATGTTCGAAATTTTCGGAACTATACCTATCTATGTATATCTTTATTACAATCTAACTGGAATGTAAGAATATTTCCTTGTTTATGCAATATAAATCTAAGCATCGCTGTTAGCCTGCGATCACTTTTTACAAACCAATATAATATCACGATAGAGGTTAAATGACACAAATTTTACGGGTTTTATCACGTTTAACATTAGCTTTATAATGTCCGAAATTTCGAATGTTTTACAAGTGGTCACGTGGTGGTGGGAGGGACTCAAACGCGGTAAAATCATTGAATGAGGCAACGTCGTTTACTTTTTTCTTTCTTTATTTAGAAGCCATGACACTGAAGGATATATCTTTGAATAAAAGAAATAATTATTATCTGTTTGGTCAGGGTATAACAATGATACTCGTGCAAAGTGAACTACGTCTTACGAGCAATCATAAAAGAAATTTCTATAAAGAAATTGCATAGGAATACGAAATGATGCCATAGCTCCTTGTAGGCAAATAAACTACAATTACCCAACATTCTTCAGGCACATCCAATTTATTTTTGTTCCTATGCGTTGAGATTTATTAATAAAAATTTTGTTATACACTTATTACCTGATTCATTTTAGGCAAGATGTGAAAAAATAATAATAATATTTTCTCCATTTAAACATGTTTTATTTAAACAAGCATTCTTCGCACAATTTGAAAAATCATGCAGTTACAACAAATACATATTTTGTAATAAAAATTTTTCGTGTTACAAGTGTAACACACTTATAAAACTTTCACAAACAATTCTTATCTAAGCAGTCATATATGAAATAAAAATGAAAATACCTACTAATGTACTGTATGAGCGGGTAGGGTTACTTTGACAAGTCGACTAAACAGCGTACATATTAGGAATACATATATCTCTGGCACGCAGTGGTTATTTATATACTTACGTTATTCATATCTGCGAAGTATTTTTTATACTTTCCTGACAGAGGTCTCTACCGTGATATTTTTGAGATTCGGTTTGAAATAATCATATATCTTGCGAAGATTTCGAACTGTTACTTTACTCGATAATACCCTTATAAATTAATTATTATAGAAATTGTATTTATTCGTTAGTTTAAAATATAGTTTGGTATGTTTTACTGTTAGTTTTAGTCATGGTTCAATAAATAAAACCGGTAATAAGCCCTGTAACGGCGGCGTAAGCGAATCTGCTACACCATATTATACCGTGGGTGTCGCACAAAGCTACGGAATCAAATCAAAACAAAAAATTGGTGTTCAAAATCAATAATAATATTAAAAAATTTAGTTGCCAATCCATTTGCCAAGCGGTGCAACGACGGCAATATATCTGTCTATAAGGTAATCTATTGCTGAGGCCTATGTTCATGAGTGACATGAGATGAATGATTGAACTCGGTGAATATGTTATATGTAGTTAATAGTAATAGTATATGAAGTAGTATATGAAGTTCACTCCCCGTCGGCACCAATTAAATGGTTGATTGCTTTATTTTTATGTAATGATTTACCAAGTGCTTGGCAGTGAAGAAAAATATCGTGACTAAAACCTGCATGCCTGCAAGTCTGACTCAGCGATCTCCTTGAGACTTTTTATTTTGGCATAAAATTGAATAAAAAAAAATTAAATAACATATAAGAGTAGGTACTTGATATGTTACGTAGTTTCCTCAAAATAATCTGGGCAAAAAATTAAACAATTATGAAATCAAACAACACGATAAATAATATCTTTGTATACATTATATGTGACTAAAACTACACAGTACAGTACATACTTTGTATATATAAATAGTTCCATAGATAAATTACGTTTATATATATTATCTTAGTTTTTAGTTTTCTGAACCTTTTTAAAAAGTACGAATTGTCTCAATTTATTAGTTTTAAAATAAAATATTATTAGTGCCTTATTTCTTGTGTAATTAAATGTGATATTTCAAATTTTGTTTTACTTGTAAAATTAGCCCAATGGTAAACCTAAAACTGGTATCATTGCTGTCGCTTTGTTTTGCGTAAAAAAACTCAACGCGAACAATATGAGGGCGCGCAAATTGCCACGCATGCGAACTGCGGTGCGGGATGGCCAGAACTAAGTCAGTATGGGTAGGTACATAGTAGCACTTGAATTGTTTTGTTTCGGTCTAAAGGGTATATATGGCATAGAGAGTCGGTTTAATTACCGCTGTGAGGCATTCCATCATAGTCCTCATAAGTGACTACGCATCTGCAGTTGCCACTTACCATCAAATAGACTATAAATTCGACTGTCACTTGTTTTATATAAAAAAAAAAACAGAAGTGAATGGGATCATTTTTTATATAGTTATAATTTTCCAATAAAACCCTTTCCATCCCTCCTTAAATTGTCTTATTCTGCACTGTGTTCGCTTTTAGTTCGCTCACGTAGGACGACATGTAAAATTACATATCGCATCATTATGTGAATTATGTCACCTAATTTTCATCGTGTGTAACAGGTGACGCTTAACATGCTGAACGCCTCTGAGAACGAAGTAGACGTCGAGGGCCTCACTAGTGACGTCAAGCTCGAGTTCGACGGCAGCAACGACGAGGCGACTGCCTGAAACATGCTTGGCCTCACCTTCTACTAAAATCGTTCCACGTATCCTGCTCGAAGGACCATGTGGTACGGTTTTCGGAGGCCTTTGTATTGAACCATATGGCCATATGGCCATAACCAAAATTAAAACAATACTGACTCTATTGTGGTAGCTCTATAAACGTATTTTTAAATATGTATAAGGTATATTAGTGAAATGTATTACTACATTTTAAGATTTAATCAGTGATCTAGCTTTCAATTGGTGTTGTAAGGAAATATTTATGATAATTTTTTTTAATATAATTATTTTCATTATTACAATATGCAATGTTTTGTTTGTTTTGTCTAAACCTTTGACTACATAAATTGCTTTCGTTTATAGAGTACCTTGTAGCTATTAAAAGGTAAGTTTGTGTCTTTAGGTGATATGTGAATAATTTATTTCTCATATTTAATAATTAATTTATGTCCGCACAATTATAATTACCTTGATGTAGGCGTGTATTAGATTTATTACTATAGATATTAATGTGTTTAGATTTATTACTATCATATCATTACATTATTCATCGTTATTCATAACTAGTTATAGGATTTAATTCTACTATAATATTAGCCTACTAGACATTGAATCATTAAATTATAATCAGTTCTCTGTAGGGTGTAAATAAATTGTATACTTTGTAAAAACATATTACGCTACTTAAGTTATTATTTAATTGATTGCAATTCATGTTATTGTGTAAAAATTTTATTTGTATTGTAAATAACGCTTACGTAATTAATGTACCGTGTAAATGTTATATCCATTAAGATTTCCTAAATGCTTATAATCGATGTATCTGAACCTTCTAACCAGTTTCCGAGCTGGGAATACTAGTGTTTAAACCTTTAACACACCAGTTTAGTAATAATTGCATTTGAAAAGCCACGCCTACCGCAGCTTTACCTTGGTCATTTTTTGGAACTCGGAATGCATCCATGTTTAATTTTCGTTCACTGCAAAACGAGAATAAATTAACAATGAATCTATCAATTATGACTGCATCCAAACACAATTAAATAACGGAAGAGTCTATTCGGCCGATAATCGAACAAAAACTGTAATTTTAATTTATTAGAAAACACATAAAATAATATCAGCGAAAGGTTTTAACTTTAAGATTTAAGGTTAATTATTTTGGTGAGACTTTACTACTCTTAAATAATGAGACAATTTGTAGAATAACTAATATGCATCCGATTTCCGGGCGATTAGGAATCACCTGAAGGAATGGCAACTTCCAAATTCTAGATCTTTTTAAACGTTGTAGATTCAATATATTAACCGTATAACTAAATTCTTAAATATTACATTAAAGTAAGTGATAGTACTTTTAGTATGGTATTGATAAATATCTCGTATATTTAATCACGTAGGCTAGATTAATGCATAAGCAGTACCTAGCTATATAATAAATAGTCTTTTCTTTAGAGCCGTAAGCAGATGTAACATTTTATAACCTGCATTGTAAATTGACAGTCCACGGTGCCTTATCTTTTTAAATGGCACACCACCATCGCCTTAATTGCATTATACATAAACAGAAATAGAGTCTGTATTTTAGTCTCTTTAATCACATATATGTCGTATGAATTACTTGTATTCTAGTGTTTAGTGACATAATGGCGTAACCGCCGATATAAGTTTCAAGTGGAGTGCACAAAATTCAAATATTGTTTGGGACAATCGCTTTGTGATTCGACTGGCGATTTAGATAAATAATGAGTAGAAAGCATAGCGATATATAAATACGTAATAATTATATTATTGTAGCGTTAAGTGGTTTTAGTCTGACAGTATAATTGGTTTTTATCGGATGGTATAGAATATGACCATATATGATAATCGTTGGGTTGGTCGTATTTATTGCATACATTTAAAAAGCATTCTGTAGTTCAATTTACGATATTTTTGCATAGAAAATTTCATTATAATACTGGGCTGTCAACATTCAACATAGAGTTTTAAAAAGAGAATATCACCTTTTAATAATTCTCTACTCTAAATTTGAACAAAAACCAAACTTTTGAAATAGATCTTTAACCACTCTACAATACTTTGAAGTGTATGCGACTAATAGACTAACAGTAATAAACACAGCTAAAAACGTCATACAGGTGGAACTGTCCGATACGACACTGTATAATGTTGAAAATTATGTGCCCATGAACTAAGTGGCTTAATTCATATATATACAGTTATAACACTTGTGTGTTATAACTGTATATATATATATGAATTATAAAAAGTAGGCAGTATTCAGAAATCTTTAAAAGGAAATTGATTGTGGTAAATGTAACATTTGCTTTTTTATTACCTTTTACCACTAATGGAATGGAGAGCATCATCCGACTGATTGGGTCTTCGCGAGCGATTTTGGAGGTTTACGTAGTGCTTAAAGATACCTAGAGTTGGAATTTTACTTTTATCAAGCTTGTAGTTAACAGTTATAAAGGGGGTAACATTATCGCAAATTATACAAACGTAATACTGTCATATTTCAACCATAGAAACTTAAGTATATTCCATATTATGTAATTTATACTATGTAATTGTGGATCGCACACTTTCTTTTCTAGAAGTTGGTACAAATTCACAGCACATAAAGTACTGACACTAGGGGCTGGTTTTAACCAGATAAAAGGTATTCTTAGGATAAAATACAACTGCTTACGTTGTATTTTATCAAGAACTAGCGATCCCGCTCCGGCTTCGCACAGTAGTAACGGAAACAGAAACTTTTTTATTCAATATAGATTATTATAAATAATACTTAATGTAATCCACTTTTTTAATTTACCACTGGTGATTCTGATTCTCAACAACACCGCCACCTACCGGGCCCAGTTGAGAATCTAAAACATCCAGGAACCCATTCAAACGCAAACAAAAAATGTTATCAAAATCTATTTTTATATTTATATTTACTAATATATAACGTCGGGGAAAAGTTTCTTCGTATTTTATATATTAATTCAAGCCATTTTTTTTTCAAATTTTAATTACATTTAATTATAATATGTCTGCCATTTTCTTCGATATCTTGTAGGGAGTGACATATTTCCGTTGCTTTAGAAATCTTAGGATTTTTAATTAAAAAATACAAGTAGTTTTGACAGCTCTCTTGATGTTAAGATAACACTACCTAAAGAATTCTAGAGAGACTGAAACAGGGGGCTGCATTAAGACTTCCTAAACAAGCTCTTTTAATTTTTGCTGAGTAGCCAAAAATATGACCACACATATTTTAGCGTTATCATGATGAAATACCACTCCTTTTCTGTTGATCAATTCTGGCCGTTTTTCTCAATTTCTTGCTTGAGTCACATTAGTTATTGGCAGTAGAGATCCGAATCATCAAAAAGTTCATCGCTTCAATAGATAATCGCAAATGAGTACACGATTAATTACGATTCTTTCAGAGAGTTCAGAGCCAGCCCAGAGCATTATTTGTATACTCAGACTTTTTCAAATAGGTCAAAACTGTTTTGTGGTCAATCCCTAATTCCTCGGCTATGTCGTTACTACTAATATGCCGATAGTGCTCCGCATTTACAAAAATGGCATCGACCTTATCCGTATGAGGGCGAACAGAGAGCTGCATTTTTGACATCAAATTTCCCGGAATGAAAACGCTTGAACCAACTTTGTGCTACTGACACTACATTAGGTCCATAACCGTCACAAATTTTTTTCGCTGCACGACTCGTATTTTCCTCCCCCTTTTTGTAATAAAACTTCAGAATGCATCTAATTTCTTCGTAGATATTCACTCATTTTGGCGGACAGAAAAACAATTGCAAAATGACGGAAAAGTGTTTGTACTTTTTATTGCACGCCTCACGACGCGAGTGCAAACTACAAAAAGTCGTTCTTATACTTTTAGTTCGACATCAAATCCATATTATTATTAACGTTACAATAACTACAGATATTGAATTGTAAGATAAGTTTATTATCTAATTGATTCACTTTACATTACATAACAGTAAATGTAATTGACTGAAAGTGGATCGTATTCTGTTTTTTTTTCTTGTAAACATTTTAATCACTATTTTCATCTCTTAATTTTTAACATAAAAATTGTGTGAAGCGTGCACTTTTGGATTTTCCGTATATTTTATTTCTTCTGCGGCAGCAATGCGCCGAGTACCATCTAGCAAGATATAAAAAATGTAAACTTTAAATTACATAGTTATCCGTTATTTATCACTTTATTTTCGAAACTCAGATTACAAAATTGAAAAAATATAATAAAAAACAAACTGTAAACAGAAATTATACACCGTTTAAAAGTTATATTTGACCTGTGTTTTTTTCTTGTAAACATTATCGTCACTATTTTCATCTCATTTAGTTTTTAAATTTAAATTTTTAACATAATACGCGTGTGTGACGTGCACTTTTGGATTTTCCAAATACTTTTCTATTTCTTTATATATTGATATTAAAAACAGCCAGATACAAACAATACAACCAAAGAGATTTTTCTTCAACTTTATACTAACAAAATACGAAGAAACCTTTTCCCCGATCTACACAGATTATTATTATTATGTGTATTAAGAAAAAAATACAGTTGCATGAATAAAATATTGCTAAATGTATATTCAATCAAGTTATAATTTATTTGGTGTTTAAGTTTTATCTAGCAATTGAAAAATCAGCCCTAATCGAATTAAAAACCATTAAAAGAATAATGCAACTAACATCAAGTTAATTTTATTTAAGTTATATGTAGTAAATAAAGCAGAGTATTATGAAAGTAAACTTAAGTATATAGTAATTAAATCGATTTCATTATTGAGGTCGTAATTTTTAAGTACTAGAATATCCGATTCGAACCGTTGATTCGAAGAGTGTCGTTGAAGGTCACAGTCATAACGTAACATAATACACATTTATAAAAAAGGCACTTCAGAATATACTTACTTTAGTTTAGTTTTTAATACTGTCCCAACAGACATTTAGTCTAAATC